AGTGGAGCATAGCTAGAAAGCTTAGAAATTAATTGTTAGTAGGGCCTGATACATTACAACAGTTGTGAACGTGTTGTCTTTTTTAATTAATTGTTGTTAAAGGTACTTGGATTAACACACCACATGCTTAAATTTAAATCATTTTAATATACTTGTAAACATATTTCTGGGTAGTAGGCAAGTCAGACAAACCATGGGAAAAAATACTAGCATGTCTGAGAAGACCAGGAACTGAGGCACCAAGACAAAAGTACTGAGACAGCTAAGTCTGACTCCAGTGGGTGCTGTTCAGTGGAACAGCTCCAGTATCTGTACAGATATCCAGAAAGCCATAAAGGAACTGTGGCGTTTTTTCCAGAAGCAGATTTACCTGGGAACATGTCACTCTGGCCAAAGTGAAAATGCCCTGCTGCTTTTTTCTTTAATAGGGTAAACGTGCCCATGAATAGCAGTATTTTTTCTGTGACTACAGCTGCTCTTTTAACTCTCTGGATAAAGAGCTGAATTTGGGTAGCTAAAGGTTATGAATTCAAATCCCTGCCTCCACTTCCAGATGCATGTGTACACTTAACTGGTAACAATGCTGTCTGTATGTGTACAATCATGGATCATTGCAGCAACACAAGTCAATTAGCCTTTGTGACACTCCATCATCCTGTGAAATAATTTTATGAATACTTCAGGGAATGTTGTCAAAAGGACAGTGCTGAGACCTACAGGACACAAAGAGTAAGGCGAGCTAAATGACCACCTTTGCCACAGGTTTTCCAAACACTTCTGTGTTTACAGACATCTGAACTCTGCATTCCCTTAGTGTCCCTTGGGAAATACAAAGGATAACAATTAACCTTTGCTTATTAGAAACCACGCAAGGCAACAGAAGAGCCTCTGTGGTGGCATGCCTCATTTGAACTTCCCAGGGATGTATGTCTGCAAGGACAGACATTTTGTGATAGTCAAGATAGGTAGAGCTGAGCCCCCTAATTATGCTGTATTTTAGAGGGCCCACTTTGCTTTTAAAGGCAATGGTGCACAGTAGTCTTCAGCTTTGACCTGGGAAGTAAGAATCAGACTAGGGTAAGACAAATCCCCAATCCTTCTTTAGTAGTTCCATTTCAATGGAAGCTATTTTGTGAAATAACAAAAGACTCCTGATAGTTCACTTTTCCTGCCAAATTTTTCTTTATTATTTTCTACTTCCATCCTTTCCCAGAAAGTCAATATGAATCTCTCAACAAATACTATGATTTTGTACCCTCTTATTTTATTATTTTAATTTGCCAGCTGCTGTTGACCTTCTGTTTCTTTTTTGTTTGTTCAGTTGTTGCTTTTTTTTTTTGTCTTCCCATTGTTGGAAAGGAAAAGGTGAGCATGAGGGAAACTTCTTGTTTTCTTTTTAATATGACTTGAAAGTAGACAAAGTGTCAGGTTATTAGTTTCTGGTTTAAAACTTTGGGGTTTGAGTTTCCCTCTGAGGAAAGCAGTAGATTTTTTTTTTTTTAAACTCGTTGGTCTGTGTTTCATTTATTGTGGTGTGGGTTGGTTTGGTGTTTGCTGGTTTTTTTGTCATTTTGCCCCACTGGATGAGTATGTAAAGGTGACAGTTTTTCTTCAATTCTACCTCCTGCCCAATTTTGAAATGTTTACAGAAACTTTACAGGAAAGTGTGTGTGTTTATTTATTTATTTATTTTCTGCTGCATCCACTTTGCTTTCCTTTTCTTTTCAGTGGTTTTCACCAAAGACTGTGTCTGTGACATTGCATGCTGTTAGGAGGTGCAATTAATGTAGAGGTGAAGTGTTAGACATGTGGGAAGCTTTAGAGGGGGCAGCAGCTGAGGAAAGTAGAAAGAGAAGGGAATAATTTAGGAACACAACCAAAGATACAATTGTTTTGTTACTGTTTGACATGTCTGAGAAAGAAATTGAGGCAAAAAGCTTAGGATAAAACTAAATGAAAACGTATGCTAAATGTAAAGAAGAGAAGAGTATTTTTTATAACTGGAGAGCCACCCATGTTAAAACGAGGGCTCTTCCTGCAGGTGGCTGCCTATGTGGTGGCCGCCAGGCACTGGCCGGCCCCGTGCCCACTTCGCCTGGCAGAAGTCAAGCATTAGGCTGGCTTGGGACTGGGGACTTTGAATTAATCCACCTCATGGCTTGTCATCCAGGGATCCTGTCAGCTGCTCCCGAAGCTGAAGGGGCTTTCAGACCACCTCAGCGCTGCCAGGCCTCGCTTCAGGCCTGCTCACTCCTCTCCTCCTGCCATGAGCTTTCAGCTCTGGCCTGCTTCCTGCCCGAACGGCCTGTTCCCTGACAAGCTTCATTTCTTGGCCCCGCTGAAGCAGATTGTGATCCTGGCCCGCATTTCCAACGCCTTAAGATGCATTACTTTTCACAGGAAAGTATTACTGCTACCTCTTCAATTTTTTTTTTTTCTTAAGCAAAGGCAAACTACGGGTCTTACAGGCCGCACACACATGCCATAGGCTAACCATGAATTAAAAACAAAAGACTGTCTTGTTAAATAAAACAGCCCAGTATCGTACAAAATTTGATAATGAGTTACATACTGAAATAAGAGAGGTAATTATTCTATTTGACACAGTCCTGTGCAAGCCTCGTTTGCAAGGCTTAGTTCAGTTGTGGGCACTAGGTTTTAAAATTACCTCAGTGTGCTGGAAAGAGTTCAGCTGACAGCAACAAAAATACCTAAAGGTTGAAAAATGAGGCCTTTGAAGAGACACTTGCATGGCCAGGCTAGGAAAAAAAAAAGTAGAAGGCAGATATAAAAATTTTAAAAATAACTAAAAAGGGAAACTATAAGGAAAAGAGGGCTCAGTCTCACTAGTGAAGAAAAACAGGATATGTCCAGTCTAAACTGTAGATTTAGGTGAAATGGATGCATGATATTAAGAGTAGCTCTGTCTGAGGGTTGTGCCAGAAAAAAAAAAAAAAAAAAAAAAAAAAAAAAAAAAAGTAGAAGGTTGGATGTCAGGGAGAAGACCCTGTGGTAGCAAAAAGTGACCTTCCGTCTTTCAACTCAAGTTGACAACCTTGACCAAGAGGCTGCTTGTGAGGCAGGAGGAGAGCAGCAGTCATGCCATGGGCTTTTTCAGATGATAGCTCAGAGTTGTCCCTAGCCAGCATAATCTAATTACCTGCTTTTCCTCCTTCTGAATCCACAGGAGATTCAGGCAGTTTTCACGAGAGCTGGCAGGTACAGTTTGATTTTGGCCTCGTTTTATTTGTGTAGAACAAGAGGAGGTTGTCAAGGGAGTGTGCAAGTGGCTCTTAGGTATGGTTGAGGTGGGGTTGGTACCTCTTGTACAAAGGAATAAAACCAACTGTGTTCCTTGCAGAAGAATGAAAGTAACTTACAAATGGTTCTGTGTCACACTATTGGTTCTGTTCTTATACTTTCAATGCTTTGAAGCTGTTATGGTCTGTTGGTTCATTAAGTTACATTTACAGATTGTCCCTAAACATTTGCTTTTACATAGTCTGCATTTTAACACTCTGTAAGTGCATATCGATATGTTCTGTCCTCTGTGCAAACCACAATCAAAGAAAACCCATTTCTGCAATGGCTAATGAGGTACTGGAGCAGTAAAATAAACAGAAGGAATTACACAGTGTCAGGAAACTTGACCAAAGAAATGTCACCTTCAGAGAAGCAGCAACTGAGAAATGACCTTTCACTTTATTACTGTGTGCCAAATTTGGCTGGATTTAGACAAGAACCTACAATTACTGAATATTTAAAAATGTATACTCTTACTCATGAAGCTGAATAGATTCGGGGGTGCTTATGTGAATGAAGCATATATTATGAAAGACATCTTTGACATACTGGCAAGAACCATGACTGATATTGCAGTTGAATTATGCAATTAGATTTTATTAACTATACATATTATTAAGGATTTTTTTTTCATTACAGAGGAAAGGATGTCAGGGTCTTGGTGATTGTACTGACCTCTTGTGCCACTGGGAAAGAAGTTGAGAGGCTTCCAGAAGAGCAATATAGTTCCTATTTAATCTTTAAATAAGAAAAAAAGGTCAAGGGACCATTGATGCTATTTTATTTCCTTCAAGTCTTCACCAAGGACGCATCCCATTTTAATGTGTATTGCCTTAAATTTATACATATTTAAAAAATGTGTAATTCGCTGAAACATTACATATTTTAGAATTAACTTTGCAATGTATTTATAGCAGAACTTGCAAAGTGTAGGATATGCATGTATGTGAATCCTCAGAATTATGTAACTAACCTCTGGAGGTTTCTCACTTCAATTCACTTCACTTCTGATACAAAAAATAGAAAAGAGGAAAGAAAACCCTCCAACAGATTACTTAAGATCTCATAAAGATGTCATATCCACACAGATACTCACTTTTCATGCCAAAGGTAGAAAAAAAAAAGTGGTAATTTATATCTCTAATGCAGTTTTATTAAAAAATATGAAACACACGATTAAAGACAAGTAAATGAAAGTGAGCAGTTGCCTTAGGACAGGTAGGGGAAAAAAAATAATATATGTGTATATTTTAAAAAAAGCATTTGGGTAATTACAGGGTCCTGCACTCTCCTTCTTGAAGTTCCCTAGTCATGCTGCAACTTTGGCAAACACCCACTGGAGAACTATGTAAAGGCTGTTTTAAGTTCCTTAACATTTTTACTTCCCCTCCAAAATGGAAGAGTGCAGGGCAGGTGCAGCGCAGTTATTCAAATGGCAGATTGCTCGACAGCAACCATACCAGAGCTGTTCCTTTCCTTGGCCTCTCTCACTTCAGTACAACCTTAGCCCATCTTCAGTCTCTACTTCTGCAACATGCGGAAAGCTATATTAAAAGCACATTCAATTAGGTTCTGGAATTGAGCCTTCAGGATTTAGGAAGCGCCAGTACCGATGCTGCAACACACAATATTAACTCAGTCTTTGGGCATATACACCTTACGCTAATCTTCAGCTATATGATTATTATTTTTTGCAGTGGGATGCAGCAAAGGCAAGCTGAAATTAATCAGAAAACCACTGGAAACTTAAGTTCAGCTCAGGGCCATGATCAGCAGCATGCCAATGAGCACACAGGTACTCCTGCCCATCTTTAACAGGCTTGAGCCTCTGCTTGTCTCAATTTTCTTAAGCTGTCCCTGTCCCAGTCTTGCTGCTTTTCTGTTTTTGGCCTCCTTTTCTATTCTTTTTAGTTAAACTTAACTCCTGAAGTTTCTCATCCTAGGATTGTCTACTGGGTCTCCTTTTCAAAGTCTTCCCATACCATTCACTCACTTGCTTTTCACACCCAGGCACACTTCTTCCAATCAATTCCCAACCTTCCTTAGAATGTAGTTTTTGGTTGCTCAAATGAGAACATGAAAGTCCATCAAACATGGCCGGTCAATTTCAAACAAAAAAATTAAGAAAGGTAAAAAGAATAGCTTTTGTTGTTGGTAGTATTCCCTCTGGCTTTTCTTTTTTGGTTCAGGCATTAGCCGAACCCCCATGAAACTTCCGAGGGAGAAAGACAGTTGAGAGAAACAAAAATAAAGGAGAAAACAAACAAATCCACAACTGTTTGAGGCTTCAAAAACAGCTCATGTTATAACAGTTATAGGGTTTGAGGGTCACAGTGTCACATATACATAGATACAGATCTGGAGGGGAGCACTGAGGAAAGCATCCAGTGGTGGTGCCCACTGCTTCCCAAGGAGCTTCAGTTGCTGAGAAAATGGGAACAGTTGCCAGAACAACTCCCCCACTTCTGCCATCAGTGACATGATACCAGACTGGAGGGGCTATTGGTCTTATTTATGCCAGAGAGAGTTTCTTATGTTTTAATGGTCTTTTATTGGAGGCATTCCTGGCCATCCTAGAATTCAAGAGGAAGAGTTGTGACAGGTTCTACAGAAACTTTCTGCATAATTCTTTTATGTGTTAAAGAAAACTTTAAAGCGAAGTCTCAGTTTCCAACTGGAAGAAGAATATAGAGTGTTGTACAGAAGACAGGTAATACATAGAAGAAACTGCTAAGGGGAATATTCACGGTGGATAAAAGTATGTAAAGCTATATCTCACGAATCAGTGCATTTTAGTCCTTTTCGATTTCCAGTGTAGGTGTATGGGAAATTTAACCTACTTAGTCTAAGTTTGCTTCTTTTAATTCCCTTTTACAGGTACCTTAGGTTCTTCCTGAGTTGTGCAAACCACAGGTTAAAGACCATTACATAAAAGATGTAATCTAGGAAGTTACTTATTTCTAGAGATTCTTTCTGTAATATGAAGAGTAAGAGCAAATCTAAGTGGAGACTGAACAGATTATAATATCAATGATCACTCTGTAGTAATATTTTGTTTATGGAGCTGAGAAATTGCAAATGCCTAGCTCACTTTGGGGGGTTACGTTTTTAAGCAGGTGCTCATCTGTTTAGGAAAGCAGGGGCAAGACTCCAAATATTACATAAAATCTCCCCCCGTGGTGCATCTGTTCAGCTCAGGCTTGTCAAGGCACTGGGTTGTCATCATCTGTGAAACCGGATCACAAAAGAAAACAAAATCCTAGATGGTCTAATAGGTCAGGAAGTAGTTTTGTATTTTTTTTTGTTTGTTTCTCCAGCACCTAAAATGGTGGGCTTACCCTTCTTTTTAGTTCCTAGCTGCTCCCGTACTGAAATAATGAATAATAGAACTGTTTCTCTGATGACAAACATTACACTGTTAAGCAGATCTTCACTTACAGTAAATGAACATAGTTCTGTTAAAGAGAATTTCATTTACAGGGAGTATTTGGTGCTGTATTTTGAATATGAGAAATAAATTAAATTGATTAGAAGAACTGTATCTTTTGCTAAACAATTATTCAAATGTAGGTGAAAAATAAGATTGTTGGAGGGCATTTGACAAAGAGAAGAATTAGCTAATAAATTTCTAAGCCTAAATTATGTGAAGACATGCCACACAATGGGTTTACATTATCCACTTTCCTCTGACTAGAGTATGTAGGCTTGAGTGTGAAAGTACTACCATATAGTCCCATCACATTTCAGTCCTATTTAGACAGAAAGAGAGAACCTGTTAGGACATTTTTTCATCTTAATACCACTGCCTTACCACTTTAAAAATTAAAATTAAAATTTTTTGTAAGAGAAACAATACCTCACACTGTTAGAACAAAGCTTTCCAAAACTTAATGATCTTGATTCCCATGTGCTTTACCCTCTCTGTAATCACTTTTGGCTCTTAAAAACTTTATGATGTTAATTCTTCTTTGAATAAATGTTAGTAGCCCAACCAATAAAAGAAAATAAAATCAGGTTTGGTGGGCCCATTTGCTTCTATTATTCATTGAAAAGCATGTGTGTGTGCATGCTTATAACCGATAGAGTAAAACTTAAATACTGAAGTCAACATTATAAATCAGGGGTGAAAAAAATCTGTCTTTTTCTTTCTATCCTTGACATGTGAACTCTTTTCTTACCTCTTTTGTTTCCTTTCTTTCAAATGCTTTTGTTTTAATCCTCTATATTTATATTTTCCCTTTTCTTTCTCTAGAGCTATCCTGCTTTTACCACTTAATGTTCTAGTTGTTCAGAGTTAATTCCAGAATCCTCACTGATACATGTCAAATGAATTTCATTTAGGTTCAGGCTGTGATCGTCACTGAATCTGAAACCACGGAAGTTTTAACATGCTAGTGACTGGATTGCTACTATTTAGCTTCCTGAGCCCTGTTTCAGAGTACGTATTCTTTTAGTTGACTCACCTCCAAAAGCGCACCAGTTTTTGGTTTTACATAAGCTCGAATGTAATTCATTGGCCATGGGAGGTCTTGAGTCAAGTTGATTGATACACAGAGGTGAGAACAGAACTGGCCAGTCTGTGCCCCTTGAGCTGCTTGTAGCTAACGATTTAAGTACAACTCATGTGTTGGCTCCTGGGGGGCCTGTGGCATAATCTCTGCTCTCAGAAGGAGTGAGTCAGCCAGAGCCTGCAAGGCCAATATTACTGGATTTCTCTGGCCTCTGGATGTTCATGTAGCTGAGCTTCATTCCTCAGGTGACTTCTGCAAGGCTATGTCATCACTGAGCTCGCTGAACTGTTCCTGTAGCCTCGCTAGCTCCAGAAAAGGATAGGCATCTTGAGGCTCTCAACACAATGAGATTTTTGGTATAGAGTTTGGAGGGCTGAGGAGATCAGACATTCTGGGAAAAGACTGTAAAGTAGTCTGATAGGTTATGTTTCTAAGTGGTATCTTTTCCTCAACCACAGTAAATTCTTTTCCAAGCCATATGATCATCAAATTATCCCCCCCCCTCCAAAAAAAAAAAAAAAAAAAAAAGAAAAGGATTAATATCAGTACCGTATCTTTATAGGAAGCATCATATTTTTGTGCCTGGAAAATATACCTTTTTTTTCTACTAAACTGAGCAAAAGCCTTCTCTTGGGCCTCGTCTTTCTGGATGGTGCCATCTTCTCAGAAATACATCATCATCAGAGTGCTTTGTCCCAGTGATGTATTACATTAATACATCTGTTGCTTCAGTGATATATTAGTGTAATACCTTATCAGAGTGATGCATACCAATGACCTATTACTCAAAAGGTGGTGCCATTCAGGAATGAAAGAATTCATGGACATATTCAGTATAATTACAGAGATAAAAGGCAACATACATTACACTGGAAGCTGCTTTCATGGAACCAAGAGCACCGGTATTATGCTAGCCTCTTCGGTGCCATTTTCTAGTGCCATTGCACTAGATTTCCGATGCAGAGGTTGTTACATCTCTTTTAAACCTTTTAAATATACTAAGAGCAACTACCATTAACCTTGGGTCACTGTGAAGCAGACTGTATCCAGCTACATTATTTTTACTATATAGTAGTACAGTACTTACTTACCCGTAACCGTATGAAACTAAGTAACATTAACCTCCAGATAGTCTGAAGAACATATCATATCTCATTATAATAATCTGGGCTTCATCCTTTGCTTGACTTTAATTATTGTCCATTCTCAAACATTCTCAGTTACATGACAGTTGAACTTCAGCCTGTCATTAACTGTAGGTTTCTTCAATCTTAACCTTCGTTTTCTTTACCATTACTTTATTTTTTCCCCGGTACTTTAGCCACTGAAAAACATGTGAAGTCAGCCTGGTTTACATTGTTTTGTGTAGTATGTTAATTAAACATTTCAAAATACCACCCACAGAAAATGCAAAAAACAAATTCTACTTTCTCTCTCTCAAACCTTCACTGTATAGAAGGGCAAAAAATGTACAACAATTGTATAAAAAACTCCTTTTTCCCCTCTGCCTTAACTTTCTCACTAATTGGGTCCAAGCTAAAGAGACGTTCCCGTGACAGAGAATCAGAACCACATTTTGGCTTGTGGTAATTTAATTGAGGTACAAGGTATTGATTAGCTTATTTATTTTTCCTCTAAATACACTTACGTTGAAATGTGAAGATTGTTGCTTAGCAGAACACGGAGGCTTATGATTTGCTTCAGTTGTTTGTAGGGTATGGGGAAGGTTTGTAGGTACCTGTAGATTCTTTTGCCAAATAACCCTGAGTGAATCTATTAGAAATTTACATACACAATGAGGGAAAAAAGAAAATGCAAAGAATTATAGTATGTAAACACTGAATTTTTCCTCTTTACATTCTCTTCTGTTATGTTCAGCTTCATTATTAGTGACAGGTACCATTTTAATTTGCAGAAAGGATTACTGAAACAACTTTCAGTAATGTATTTAGTCAGGTAGTCAGATAAATTCACAGAAACTTTGGTCATACAATATCATAAATGCAGAATATCCTGCTCTTTACATTTCCACTCCTCCAAGGTCATTCAGCTGACCTGTCACCTTCTGGTTTGGAAAGTGCTGACCCAAATTCCTCTCCTGCCCCACTGGGGGAGGAAGAAGCAGAAGCTCTCTTTGGGAGAGTCTGATGAAAGAAATAGACTTGCTCTCATGCGTAGAGCAGTACTGAACAGCATAGCTTTATAGGTGCTATGGTACTGCTGCAGCAGGAGGTGGCGTAACAGGTTGCAGTGCAGGGGAGGAGGTCTGTGGCTGTGCAAATGTGGCAGGCACCTGAAGTTCTGTGCGGATTCAGGGGCAGCAAGTGGCAGTGGTGCTTGCAAGGGCAAAGGGCCTTTCTGACAGAAGGCTTATCCCAGCCAAAGTAAGAGTCAGGGCAAAGCTAGAAACCAGTATTTTACCTGAAAGTATAATTGCTCAAGTCACTGTACCTAGGCTATTTGCAACCTCTTCCTATCTGAAGAAACTGGTTATTTCACTGAGCATTTGCTAGGATTCTTCAGTCCTGAAAATCTGTTGGATCTGGCTGCAGACAGTTCTATAGTGTTGGCCTGCTGGCTGCAATGGGTCTAGCATGTTCCTGAGAGAAGTCTGATTTACCACAGAAACCTTCCAAATCTCTATTAGCAAACACAGTAACAGGTAATTCTGATAAACTACAGGTGAGCAGGCAGACCTTTGTGTACCGTGCCTTCTGTGCTGAGCAATAGGAAGGGATGGATTTGGGATGGGAAGAGTGACTAACAGGTGGGCTTCTGATGCTGCTGTTATTCATGTGTATGTACTTAACAGAGTTAAGTAATAACATGCATTATCAGCTCATAATATGTACTACATTTAGGGTCACAGTCTTGTAAGGTGGGGAATGGGTTAGTCTTTTCTCAGGAGAAGGGTATCTGCATGGAGAGAGAGAATTAAGTGAAATGCTTAGTAGTCTACAACAGTCTGGGGGCCTGCAGGCAAAGTGTGTGGTCTCATCAGCATGGTTTAAATGGCCATTCAGTCGTAGGCAGCTCCTGTGCCCTTGTTTTCTGCTTTAGAGGTACAGTTTGTGGGGTCTCTGGGAATCCATCCGAATGGTTAGTGACTTTGGGCTTTTGTTTTTCTGAGTTAATTTTAGCAACATCTGTTGTTCAATCTTGTTCACTGTGTGCTACACAAATGCTTTTGCTAGTGTGCTGCAAAAAAGAAGGAACGCTAGGCAAGGTGGGTGGCAATTCCTTACACTTGCTCAAGCTGTACTGCCACTGAATGTCAAACCATGCCATGTTACTAGGCTGTGGCAGAGCATGTGTGGTGGCTTAGGACACAGCACTCCTTTTAGTTAGATGAATGATAAAATAATTGTATTTTAAAAAAGGAGTTGGACTGCTCCTTTAAGCTAGATTTAACCACCTATAAATTTGATGTTTGGGGTTGAATCAATTGTTTAGTTTCCTCCATAGTCCGTGGAGAAAGCAAAGTTTCTCCAGGTAAATTCATGCTACCTTCATAGGCTGGGGAATGACTGCCAACTGGTAGCAGCTAACTGTATCTTTTGACAACAGGTAACCTAGAAATATGGGTTAAATTAAATGACTATGTCTCCCTCTTGGTGAAGGCTAGCAGAATTTGCATTTGCTGTCTACTGCTTAAAATTGTTCAAGGCTGCTGTATTCCATTAATTTCATAAAACTTTGAAATAAAACCTTATGCTACTAGATGTCCAAAACTCTGTCAACAACAAAGTGGACAGATGAGATGGAATTGGTTTGCCAGAGGAGAACTGTGAGGTGAGCCACAACTTCTGATAAACCTACCTGTGTTCCTCAGGTGGATGCTGCTACTACCTACATAGTACAATCACCAGCAGGAGCTTAGTATAATAACCCATATATGGTGTTCTTGAAAATAAAAAAGAAGTCCCTAAAAGAGTAATATGGAAGATCTAAACTAAAAAATGGTAAGGGGTGGCAGGGTATTAGAAATGGGTCAGCAACCACTTAATCTAGGGCAGGTGCAGCTAGCTGAGTTTGCCTCATTGTGTCCTAACACCTGGGCTGCAATACGCAGTGGCAAAGGTGAACATATAGGATGAATTTTGCTGACTGTTATGGGAAAATTAACTTCTGGCAAAGAGATGAAAAGAGCAGTTGCAAGCAGTAAAGTGGCTCAAGCCTTGGAACAATTTGCTTTGGTGCATGAAAGCTGGAGTCATTAGCCTGTATGAGCAAAACCCTGGCTATGAGCAGATCAGTGAGGATTTTGACAGTGACTGAACTGGGACCAGGATTTCACTGTAATTACTGATTATGGCAGATGTGCAACAGTTGTGCTGCTGTTTTGGAGCTGAACAGTTTGCTTCTGGTTTGCTGGTTTATTGTTGTTGGGGTCTTTTGGTGGTTCTGTTGCTGTGTTTTGTTTTTTTTTTTTTTTGCCAATGCTAGAAACTGATTTATTCCTTCCCCCAGCTTTTTAGGCCTGGGAAGTGGGACTCATAAATCCCTGTGCTACTTGCTTTCAGAATGTGTGACTTAAAAAGTAGGGTTTAGTTGATGAGGATGGATGCATGAAAAGATCATTCAGGTAAATGACTGCTGTGTTCTGCATTAATTTCCTCCTCAGCCACTCAAACAATGCTTGCTGACCAAAGCCTATTAAATAACTGCATAAAATATTTGCGGATTATCTCTCAGGTACAGGAGAAAAAAAGATTAAAAAAAAAGAGGTACTTGTGGCAGGAAAGGACTTTTCTGTAAAATGTTGGTGCTGCATCAGTAGTAATACAGGCATTCTCATCTCGTGTTGACATGATAGCCATTTCTGTTTATAGGTAATTCTTGGGATGATATTCTTGCATGATAGCTCTTTTCTGCTTTAAGTCTTGTTGATCTCCATGGAGCTGTGATAGTAAAAGATGAAATAATCTAGGAAAGGAGTTCACAGAACCAGTTAACTCCATCAGGAGGAGTAAAAACAACTGTTAAAATTTGAGGTCATGCCTACAGAGAAGTCTAAGCAAAAACTGTTATTTATTTGGGGAGAAAAAAAAATCACTGAGGACACTGTGTGTGTGGGGACATTGATCTATCAGAAGTCAATTTTCTGCAGCAATGTTGACGTAGCTTACCTAAAACAAGTTAGATTACTCTGCTATGGGGTCCACCCTCTAACGCAGAAGAGGAACATACTTAGGGCTTCAGCATCAGGATTTGATTCACCTTTTTCCCCTAACACCTGCTCACATCCAAAAAAATTAAAAAAAAAAAAAATGCTGAAGTGTTCCACAAGAGGAGAGGAAAAATAATACTTTGATCAGCTGTACCTGTAAATCTTGGTTACTGGGTAAACACCCTGATTGCCACCTGAGTCTGTGTTGGAATGGATGACATCTGGCACCCGTTATCTTCTGGTCTTACCTGGTTTCCTTCAGAAACCATGATGCATGGAGAGGGAGAGAATAGTGACTAGCTCAGAGAACTTCCTGTAGTGAAGATGCAATCTGAGAGACTGACAGAAAAGTAGTTGAAGACT